TCGCGGGGGTTACTTTCTGGACTGCACTAAGTGAAAAACCGCGTTGTAGGAACACTATATATTTTTTTTGTATTCATCTCTATTTTAAGGCTTTATAAACACTTCCCACACTCTTGCAATGTTATAAACTCTTAAACCTATGTCATTTTAACAACATACATATATGTACTGCACAGTAGCTACGTACTGCAAAATTTTATATGTGCACTCACCAGCCTTGTTCCGGTTCTGATTGGCTTTCTGCAGCCACTGAGCGCCAAAGTCACTTTGAATAAGGACCAAACTTTTTCGGATTGGATCAAAACTTTCCCTCTATTTCAGCAGAAAGCAACTTTGGCTTCTGGGTAATGTAGTCCTTTTGACTTGCCGATACAGTGAAGGCTCATTGAGAGAAAACTACACAATGGTGGCGCCTGTACAAAGTTTTTTTTTTGTTAACTTTTTACCGCATCTCGTACTGTCCCAATCATGAGAGTAATATTAAGTTGACAATCGTGTGTCGTACAAACTTTTTGTTGTTGTTGTTGTGTATATTCTTACTTTGATAAACCGCGAAAGAGCGAGTCCGCAAAAGTCAAACCGCGAAGTAGCAAGGGACTGTATACACTTAATCTAGATGGGAATGTTTTTATAGTGTCTTTGTATGTGTTTGTGTTTCTGTCCTGTTAGCAAAATGTCTACAGTACACTGCATGTCGTTTTCTCACAGTAATGACTGGTGGTCATGCGTCTCTCAGCAGCCACAACTTATAATGTTAGCCTTAAGTGTTGCATTGAAATGACCCAAACCACCAAATCCCTCCTATGTTGCAATTACTCATTTTCCTGGCATCCCTTTGTGGGGTTAAAGCAGCAATATTTAGAACGTATGCGGCGCTGAATGTTTTTGAACTCGGCCACCTCCCTCTCTGCGCCACATTTCTCGTCTTTGGGAAGTCTGGATGGTTTCAGGGGTGTTCCTTTTCAGTATTTTTTCTCAACACAGTCTGATTCAATCTGTTTCCTCCTGATTATTTAGTATTTCCTCTCTGCTGATAATTGCCTTGCAACTGGCAATGTTCTTGCATTCAAATGATGCCAATTCACAAAGATCAGATCCATTTGACGTTCATGTCTGGATTATGGAGCCTTTAAAACCCAGCCACAAGCAAAATGGTTGTCCTGACTAATTTTATGAACATAGGATGGTCAAATTCACAGGTTAAGTCCTTCAAAAATAAGTTTAGGAGGCTTAGATCTGTTAAACAGAACCAGATGAGTGGCCGAGGCCGAGCCAGTTGTTGGTTTGCCTCAGGGCGCTTGTCGGTGGCCCTCAGGGTTAGTGGGTTCTCTTGACTGAGCAGCAGCCACAGTTAGACTGGCACCAGTGGTGAGGAGGCCCCGTCTCAACTAAACCACATCACCATCGTCCCCAGCCCATCGCGGAGCCAGGGTTTAATCAGCATAACGTCTCCTTCTCATCTTTTTTATTTTTTACTCTTAAGGTTGTTTACTTTCTTGACTGCGAAGCCATTTTCACAGCAGTCTGAAGCCGTTCAGCGCACTGACCTGCTGGTACACATCAAACGAGCCACAGAGAGAAAAAAGAGTTGCCAAACGAGCCACAAACTAAATGTGCCGCTTCGCGTCGACTTCACCGTCTCTTCCCATTAACGTGCTTATATTCTCCTCACTCCCGTTTAATTTCTTGCTCTCCACCATCAGTGCTTCTTTGCAGCTTGTTTCCGACATTTTTATTCATTTGCAGAATCTAAGCAGAAACAACAGAGATGTGAACTTTCCCCACAGTAAACTTGGAACACTGCCATATTTTTTGCCCTGTAAGTCACGTTTTTTTTGTTGTTGCATAATTTACTTGCCATGCGACTTATAGGCCGAAGCGACGTATTTATGGATTTTTTTCCAATATTTATAAACCAATTTTTGGCTGAGATATGACCGTTTTCATTCACTCTGACTGAAAATATTAAACAGTACCGTTTTTCAGGCACTAGATGGCAGCATACTGTTAAGGCATGCCGTTGTATCATGTAATAGGTAAAAGAGGCTATTAATGACAAATTCAAAAAAGTTTGAGACAAAAACAACTGGACTTTATTTATTATACTTTATACTTTATTGTTTTTGTCTTGAACTTTTTTACATTTACCATGTCTTGTATGACTGTGAATCTTCACATTAATGACACAGTCAGCTTGCCCAAGCCTGCCACCTTCGTTCTGCTCGCAGCTTGGAGCAACCGTCAAATCAAGTCCTCTTCATTTCACTGCACCGCCTCAGCAAAATGCAGCTAATTTGACCATTGAAGTGCATTTATTAAGTAAAAGTTCAACAGAGACGCAACTTTGCTATAATTTCGAGCAACAAATAATTGTTTTAGATGCTTATCTTGTTAAATTTCAAAGACACGAGCAGCGTTCCTTCTTTTTTCCTCATTGTCTGCTCGCTCCCAGAGCACCGAGGCAGCAAATGCTTTTGAAATGCAGCTGATTTGACCATTAAAGTCCTTTTATTAAGCAAATGTTGGACTGAGACACACCTATACTATAAAATCGAGCAAACAAATAATTGTTATTAGGTGTTTATCTTGTTAAATTTCGAAGAAACGAACAGTGGCTTGTCCCTCTGCGTATGCCCGCTTCCACGAATCGGGTTTTGAAAATGCAGCTGATTTGCCTGTCAAAGTGCATTTATTAAGCAAAAGTTAGACCGAGACACATCTTCATTATAATTTTGAGCAAACAAATAATTTTTTGTAAGTGTTAAACTTGTTAAATTCTTGTTAAAGTCCTCCCGTGCACGCTCCCACGGCCGCCATTTGGCAGCCAAACGATTTTTGGCACAACACCGGCCCATGTTTCCGGGTTCGGTCCACATTTCCGGGTTGTCAGCGGCGACGCGTGACAAACGCGACGCATCAGCGGTGGCGCATAATAGATGTGACGTATACAGCGAAACAATATATTTATGGATTTTTCCACTTTATTAGACAGATTTGGACTGATGTGACTTTTAGGGCAGTGCAACATGTACGGCGGAAAATACGGTACAAACATCTGGCTAATCACAAAAGGTATTATTGAAGAAATTAAAAGTGATTGCCTTCCTCTCAGTTTAGTTTGTTCTGTGTATTGTTTGCTGGCTCAGCTTTTTAGGAAGCTAAAAGTTTCATTGACCTGCACTTTTCTTTTGGTGACAAGCCAACACGTCCAAAAATTAGCTGTCTGGGGGAGCAAGTGACATTCCCAACACTTTACTTTAAGATCTAATCCTGTTTATAATGAGGGTTTAAAGCATTTACCAGGCTAACACCACTTCACTGTGACCTGTCAGTCAGTTCTTTTCAGCTCCTTCCCCAGAGCGTGTTGCCTATTCATCTCATTCATTAGTTCCTCTTTAACACCTCTACAGGACCTGACCTTCTGGGAGGGGATTATAGTCCCAGGTCACAGGTCAAGGTTCAGCTCGAGTACAGATTAGCATAAAATGTTGCTGCTTAAAAGTCAGCAAAGAATCCATTTGGTTAAGAAGGCCTTGTTGGACCATCCAGAACAGTCAGTTTAAATTTTCTGTCCATGGGTTTAGAAATAAAGACTCGTGGTTTTGGCGCAGTTGGATACATGTACATGGATGAAGCAAGGAAGTACATCTAAGAATACTGTATATTTATAAGTCCAGGGTTTCTCCGGACAAAAAGTGCCCGTGTTCAACATGAATGCAAGACGGCAAAAAGACTGCCTCTCCCGTAGGGGATCCTCTTGTACCCCTGACCCCCCCCCGTCTCACCTGACCCCTGGTCTTAAGGTCTCCTCTCTGAGGACCACGAGCTCTCGGTCAAACACCAAAGTGTGCCCGTCACTGGGGTCAATGGGAGCCCTGACCTTTTCTCTTCCTACTATTGTCCCAGATGAAGTTAATTCCTCATCAGCTGGACATGATTAGGACCACTTCAGTAACAGGGTCGGGTGACAACCCCCCACCACCACCACCCCCCCACCACCAATGCCTGCTCTCATTGGTGGATCATTTGAAGAGCAGAAGTCAACACCTGTTGTGATGTCAGCTGTGACAGAAAAAAAGATGAACTATCTGTCATTTTAGATCATCTTTTGGGCCATCGTGTGAAACAGAGTTCAAATTTATTTCTTCTTATACACAAAGTTTGTTTTCTCAGTCATCCAGGTATATAACAACAAAAAAGGTTGAATCATGTCATCTGGACTTCGTTTTTTTGTTAAAAAGAAACGTTTCGCCCCTCATCCAAGAGGCTTCGTCAGTCTGAGGCCTAGCCATCTGGTATTACCCAGAAGCCACCCTGACTCTTGTGTTTCAAGCCTGCCTCAGATACCCCTGAAGTCTGGCCTTTTCACTAATGGTTTCAAAAACACAAAGTTTGTTTTCTCAGTCATCCAGGTATAGGTATCTTTTTAACAAAAAAACGAAGTCCAGATGACATGATTCAACCTTTTTTGTTGTTATTTCTTCTTATGTTTCATTGTCCTGCATACGTTCTCTTCTCACCAGTTTTAATTTCATTTCAGTTTCATCTCAGTGTATTTATATAGCGTCAAGTCACAACACGAGTCGTCTCAGGGCACTGAACAGAAACATTCATATACATAAAAAGTAAGTTATAAATGTTGTTCATGTGAGGAAACCAGCAGATTGCGTTGAGTCACCAGTGCAGTCGATCTAAAATATGCTCGTTTCAAAACAGAAGCAGGTTTAGCATGATAAAAAATAATAAAACGATCTTCACAGATGGAAAATGCCGATTTTTATCGGAAACGTTTCGGACACGAGTTGTTAATTTATGAACCGATCGCTCTCTTTGTTTTTATTTTTCATTCTGAGTGTCTGTAACATCTCTAATGTCTGATTGTAGTGCTGTTAACCAACAGTTTTTGGTTTACATGTTTGGTTGCATGCTCCAACATTTCAATTGTATACACTTAAAAAAAAAATCTGTTTTTATTTATTGTATTTATTTATTTACTTTAGATAAAGAAAGCCTGATCACGGAAAGTGGCAAGCTCCACACCTTGGACATCTTGTTGAACCGGCTGAAGGCCCAGGGACACAGAGTCCTAATCTACTCCCAGATGACTCGCATGATCGACCTGCTTGAGGTACAAACACGCTTAGACACCTCTCATCTGACCTGACACTGATGCTAACAGTCATCTCTGTTTATCTCTTTGCATTTATGTTTTTGTACCAACTAAGCTGTCTCACAGGCCCTCTTCTCCTGGTCGGCAGTTGAGCTCCAGTTCCTCTAATAAGGCTGTCTGTCCCTCGTTAGTGAGCCCATTAGGTGACTAATTATCAGGTCAGAGCTAATTAGAGGAGTCTCATCTGCAGGGGAGGCAGCCAGATGGGAGGGAAGGGTGAAAATGGTGAAAAGAAAGGGAAGGTGGAGAGAAGAGGAAGGTGTGGTGAGGGTTTTTGGGGTTTGCAGGAACCAATTAAACAAACAACTAGAGTGACTCTGAGGTCAAAGCCAAAATGAGGATGTCTAGTGCTTGGTCACAGAGTCAGCACAGAAAGGTTACAATATAACCTTGGACCAAACTGACGTACATTAATTAAGCTTCTGGGTTCTCAGATTGGTTTGGAGGTTTAGGGATTTTGGGGACTCGAAAGGAAAATAGCAAAACCTGTATAAAAATAACTATTGCGCAACAGTCCTGACAGCAGCCTTGATGCATGGCGCACCTTTGCCTCCGTATTTGCTGCAAACATCGGTAAGGAGCCGATCTTGTCTGACATGATGTCAATGGGAATTCCTTCCCCCTTCCCATAGCAGAGTTCTGTTTCCACAGCGAAGTGTTCATGATGGCAGAAGGACTTGACCAGGGTGGCTAAAGAGCTCTCTGTGTCCTACAAACTATGAGGACTGTGTTTGAGACAGCAGCGGTAGAAAAGCTTAAAGGTGATTGAGATGATGTTTTGTTTTAATATTCTCTTCACCGGCTTTCCCAACTCAAGTTGATTCATTTTACTATGATTTTCTGATCCGATGACGTTGTTTGGCTGGTCTTTGTGGCAGCACCTCCTCTACTGACGAGGAGGAGACGAGCAGAAATGACAATTCCGTTCACCTAATCTGGATTCAGTTGTTCCTCTTCTGTATCGCCTTCCTCTTCGGTTGAAACCAGAATTCTGCGGATGGAGTTGATTTGCTCAAACTGAGCCTGAAAGCAAAGCAGAGTCTGATGCTAGATGTGTGTTAGCATCATTGTTGTGGTCGCCTGGCGGCTGCTGGTTCGCTCAGTGACATCACGTCTCTGGGTGATGGATCATCGAGATCACATCAGGTTTTGTATCTCCACACAGAAAATCAGGAGAGGATTTTATTGGGGACTAAAGGAAACTAATTTCCCTGTCAGCCTTTCAGATATTGGTCACAATGAAAAAGATACAACCATCCCATATTTGTTTAGAAAAAAAAATCTTTAAAATAAAAATGCAGTTAGAAAGATGGATTCGTCAGGAAACAGGAAATCTGACCGTTCTTTGAAACAAATCATTGTTTCCCTTTTGTTTGTCTTCTGATATATGAGCCCACTTTGTTATTATGATTATAACGGGCTGTTGATAAAAGAAAAACACTACGGAAATTCAAAGTAATTTATATATCATTTCAACTTGTGAAACACAAAATAATAGCATTAGAATCTTGTGACCCAGATTATTACCAGTTTAAGTATACAAACTTATATATGTATATATATATATATATATAAAATAACTATTTAACACGTTTAACGACAACACAAACTTTATACTATCGTTTTTTTAATTCATAGGGACAATTATTGTAAAAATATAATATTAGCAATTGTTTTAAAATGTGTCTTGATTTCTGGAGCTCACCCGAGGACTCCCAGTTGGTGTATTACGACCCGCAGTGGGGTCCTGACCTCAACTTTTGGAGCCACTGACCTAGCAGCCACTCGGAGGGAATCCCATTGTCACCGTTAGTTAAACAGATCATTTAAAGCTCGTCAATTGATAAAAGGTTAGTTTAGATCTATTGACGTGAAGTTCTGTTGAACCACTATGAAAAATGAACATCTTACCTGTTGCATGTAGCTTTTGGAATGAGAATTCAAGTTTTAATGGAAACATTTGGTATTTCAAAGTCAAGAATTTCTGACCAACCCCGACTAGAATACAATATGGCTGCCCTGCCCTTAAACAGTAGTGATAGTCACTGTAATGAACCTTTAATTTTCACTTCTTTTAGTTTGTTTCTTATTATTTAAGTTGCAGTCATCATGCTATATTACCTGCATTAGGGAGCATGTTTGAACACAAACACATTGTTATCAACTTGTAATGCTAACAGTAGTTAGCCTGCTTCCACAATACATAGCATATTCTACGTTTTTTGACTTGTAACTTAAACACAATTAGTCCAAATGTGACGTCATTCTCAAGCACGAGGGTCAAGACCCCTCCCAAACATTTCATAGCATTTTGATTTAGATGAGCCTTTTTATTTTTTAGCAGTAATGCGCTGAAAAGATGTCAGAAGCTTTTTGGAGGCCATTGGGCTAATGGTCTCTAATGCGGTGTTCATTCAGAGCAGATGGGGTCGTTGGGAACGGAGCCAAACAGACAGCAGAGGGCAAGCCCTGGTGGGACTGGGGGGGCCCGCTTGTCATGATGAGGGGATTTCAAATGGGGTCACAGAAAACATGTTGTCAAATCATTGATATGATCTGCAATGATTTCACGAGTCGAGCCGTGTTGAGTTCTGCTGGTTGTGATTGGTTCGTTGTTTTGGGAGGGGGGCGGGCACATTTTATAGGAGGTCGCAAGTTCAGGGCAGCACTTAAAGAGGAATCAGCTTGTCACCTCATCAGACATCAAACCTAGCACCCCCCACAAACACACGCAGAGCAGCTCGGGGTTTGGGGGGAAACAGAGTATCAGTGTATCACTGATGTTTGCCGTTCTCTGCGTCTCTCCGGGTTTGGATTAAGAGTTTTAATCCAACAAATGCAAATAAGAAATGTGAGATTTTAATATTGTGGACCAAAAAGTTGTTATCACTGGAGTTTTTTTTTTTTTTTTTACATTAAAGATGAATGTTTCTTAAGTCCTGGAGCCTAACGAGTAATACTGCTGGGCGTCTGTGATCCTCAGAGACATATTTGCACAGAAACAAATATGAGAACGTATCCAGTTGCTGTCACTGTTTGCAGTCCGACTTGAATTTTCTGGATCACAGTCGATTTTAAAATCAGTAGGAGAGGGGATCCAAGTAGGGTCACTGGCACAAACTTGTGAACTTAAACTATTATTATTTGTATTAAACGTCCATGGAAAAACTTTTCTTTTCTTGCCCGTAACTCGTGATCCGCTCAAGCTAATTTCATACACACGTGCATCATCACTAGACGGAGCGCTGCATACACTATTCATCACTCCAGCTCTGTGGGCAAGAGCATACATCAAGGTCAAAGGTTATACCAGGTGTTTGCTTGTCTGGTCTTCTGTTATAAATTGCTGTATAATGGTTTGTCAGTGGGTGAATAATGTGTCGTGTGCGGTACTCTTCATAAACTTTAAACAAGACTTGGTGCATTTAACCCTGAACATGTTGGAAAGAAAAGCAAATGCAACTAGAGAAATTGCATTTCCTGTGAAAATGCAGTGCGAAGGCTTTTTGCAAAAGAACTTGCTGAGAAACAGCTGAACAACAACAAAAAAAAAACTATTTGAAATGTAGCTGAAATGGAAGAACAAGCCTAAATTAGCAGAAGAAAGCAGAAAGAACACATATTTTCTGAAGTAGGTTTAGATAAGCAGAAATGAGTGCAAAAAGTAGTAAATTAGCTAAAAAAGCTGAAATTAGCAACAAAAAAATAGCTGAAAAGTAGTTGAAGAAGCTTAAACTATACAGAAGAAAGCAAAAAGAACTGACATGAGCTAAAAAACAAGTGGAATTATCTGAAAAAACAGATTTTCATCAAAAGAGCTAAATAGTAGCTGAAAGAGTAGAAAAAGTTGAAAGGAGCAGAACATGTTGAAATTAGCATAAAGAAGTTAATTAGGCTGAAGGAAGCAGTAATGTGAAAAACTTGAATTTATTTGAAAACCGTTTAAATTAGCTAAAGAATGCTGAAACACTAGCTGAAAAGTTAGAACAAGCCAATTAGCAGAAGAAAGCAGAAACAACACGTTTTCCCAGTTATGCTGAAAGAAGCTGAAATGTGCTCAGAAAGTGGAAATTATCCGAAAAAAGCTTAAATTAGCAACAACAAAAACAGCTGAAAAGTAACTAAAAAGGCAGAAAAAAGCCTAAATTACCAGAAGGAAGTGGCGAGTTTAGCTGATTTAGACTGAAAAAAGTTGAAGGCGGGCAAAAATGTGGAATTAGCCAAAAAAGCTAAAATTAGCATAAAACAGCTAAATAGTAACTGAAATAGCAGAAAAAAACTGAAACTTGTAGAAATAAGCTGAAAGAAGCATAACAAGCTGAAATTAGCAGAAAGAAGTTAGAAGAAGCACAAAAATGTTGTAGTTAGCAGAAAGAATCTGAAAGGAGCACGAAACAGCTGAAAGTAGCTGAAAAAAAGTTTAAATTTGCACAAGAAAGATTATTTTAAGATTATATTAAAGAGTATATTATTAGAGACCGACCTCCGAGGCAGCGCTAGACTAGTCTTCCAACAACAGAATCAGTCGTAACCTGCAGCTGTTTTCTGTACTTACTTGTGTCCTCCTCTTCCTCCCGTCTGTCCAGGAGTACATGGTCTATCGTAAACACACCTACATTCGCCTCGATGGATCCTCGAAGATTTCTGAGCGCAGGGACATGGTGGCTGACTTCCAGAGCCGGTGGGTAAAGTTAAAAGGCCGTCAAGATTCTGTGTATATGTGTGTAACTGAAATCAAACATCCCTTTTTACTAATAACTCCAAGTAAGTCTGCCCTTTTGTATATCATATAATCAGTAAACAGTTTAATCAAACGTCCAGATATTATAAACATACATGTGTGTCAGTGTTCCACATGCTCTGGATTATATTAGTGTGTAGCTCTCAGGCCCCTCTCTTCATTGTTTTGGAGTTGGGTGGTGGTTCTCAAACTGGATGAGGGTCGGCAAAAAAAAAATACAAACAAGATTTATGTGAGAAAATAAACAAAATCAAGTTTGCCAATGCTGACGTGTGGATCTTTATTTCATGGATATTTCAGTTTGAACTTTGAGTCTGCAGCTTCTTTAAGTCACTCTTACTGACAGATTTTAAAAGTGCATTTGAGTGGAGACATAATTTACTTTCAAAGGAGGAGTTTATTAAAGTAGCTTTCTTCACCTACATTCCAACTTTACTTTATGCCACAACACGGCATGTGATCAGTGGTTGTGTAGCTTTAGCTGAACGAATGTTTGTCTCAACTCTTCCTGCCCTCCACAGTACGGACATCTTCGTGTTTCTGCTCAGTACGCGGGCCGGAGGACTCGGCATTAACCTGACAGCCGCTGACACTGTGAGTCACACACTCTCCACATAACAACCAGACAAGGTTTAAAGCAATAGTTCAGACTTATTTGATGTGGACTTTTGTGGAAAGTATAATAATTAATATCCTACCTGTTGTAGAACGACCTCAATTTAAATGGAGCTTAATGTTGATTGGATTGAGGAGCTAAGGGCTAGTCCGAGCGGGATCAAGACTCGAATGGATTGCTGCCATTTTAAAACAACTTGGGTAGATAGATGGATAGATGGATAGATGGATAGATGGATAGATAGATGGATAGATGGATAGATAGATGGGTGGATAGATGGGTGGGTGGAT